AAATAATTTCGAGTCTGGTCTGTGGTTGCCTTGGTGGGTCAAAACCAAATTATTTTGCAGGCCTTATACGGCCTGCTGGCCGGACATTTCCCACCCCTGGAATAGAGTGTCACTAGTTCTGAAGGGGTTAATGGATAACATAAGAACAATCTGACTATACTGATTATATAATTCAGCCTTTTCAATTTCTGCCTATGTGCAAATTGCACGTATCCCAACGCTATGGATGCTCATTCTATTTTGGGAAATGTATATATTATTAATAATTACCAAACTCATTGGATTTAACCCTGTGCGTGCTGTGCCTCTGGTATTTCCTTTCCTGCTGTGCTTGTCTTACTTACATGCATTGCTGGTTCATCCCCAGGTGCTCCAAGCACAATGAATTGTAATTAGAAATTTTCATTTTTTTTTGTCAAGGGAATTCATTTCTATATAAAAGGCTTTAACTTAATTAATGTGTGTATTGGTTGAGATCCATAGAGAAAGCACAATGAGGTGAGAGGTGTTCTTTTTCTACTTAATCATTATACATAGATTTACAGATATCTAGTGTCAGTATTTCAAATCCATTCTTAGTGTGGTAGTTCTGTATCGCCATTGATCCTGATAGAGCTGAATATTCACCAGCTAATATACTCCAACACAATATACTATATCCCTAAAACGCTGTAGCATGCCTAAAACAATATAATACACCCACAAAACACTGAAACATACCTCAAAACATTGCATGTTGAGCAAATACAACATTAGTTATCGGTGATCATTTCAATAAGGTAGAAAAAGTTGCAGCCACCATCAACTCACATTTTTCCAACTCTTCTGTTTGATGATAATGTTAGGTCAGAGCTCTAACTGTAGGCTATGGTATCCAGATGAGGTGTAGTGGCAATCTTGTGTGCTTGTGATATTGGTGTAGTGATTGCAGATGGAAAAACATTGTATATTTGGGGTGTAATTCAATTCCTGTGAGATTAGTGTAAGACATAGAATATGAGCTACATGGAATGGCATAGCTTTGAGGTCAGTGCTTGGGATGTAATTGGCATTACAAACTCAGATGGGGTGTAGTTCTGTAGAGCTCTGCTTCCATAAGGTGAGTCTGGGACAGGAGTAAGCAATCTTCGGCACTCCAGATATCGCGGACTACTTCTCTCTTAATGCTTTGCCCAGCATTATGGTTGGAAGAGCATTATGGGAGATGTTGTCCACAAGACCTGGAGTGCATGAAAGGCTTCCTACACCTGGTCTAGGAGTGTAATGATGTAACTTTGTGTCTGTAGATGGCATTATATGTCTTAGTAAGACTGTAGTGATAGAGCTCTGTGTATGTAAGGCCAGTGATGGAGATGTAGATGAAGTGACATCATTTGATGTAATAAGTAATTGCTTATTCTCTCAGCTCCAGAATAATTTTTCATCTATACTGGTCTGTGTGGCATCTCGTTTTGTCATACATCATGCCAGTATCTCATGCGGATCGCATAGGATGCAGTCTGAAGGGGTTAAAACTTGCTGGAGATGCTGAGAATGGCGACTTCTTAATAGGAGCGATACTCCCCTTCCATCTTAATAAGGAATATCCCATAGTGCCTTTCACTGAGTCCCCACCACAGGGAGAGTGTAAAATGTGAGTATAAATCCACCATCTAGCTATATTAATATCTAGGTAGTTACCATGTAATTAGTAGGGTGATATTTACTGGTCTTAGATATTACTTTAAAAAATTGTTAAATTACACAGCAATCTTAAATCCTCATTGCAATGATTATCTGTGACTTTCTGGTATGTTCTTCACCATTTATATTTCCTCTGGTTACCTGGCTGGATCCTTCCCATTTTTTAACGATGTGCTCTCTGTGATTATATTACTCTGTTTAGATTCCATTCACATTATATTACTGAAATACTGCTAACACATTCTGCATTGCTGGATACATTTTCTTCATTTTGTTTGATACAATTCCGGTTTTGACATGTCCTGTTTATCTTTCCCTTTATATTACCACCATTTATTTAATGAAGGTAAAATAGTACCATGGCCGAAACATGAAAAACATGTTAGGTGGGCAGTCAATATGTGACTATGGCTGTTCAGGGTTAGTAAAATGATTAGTGACTTTGTTTAAAAAGATGTGTTGGCTAGATTGTAGATACTATGGGGTTACGGGTTCTATCATAGTGGATGGATGGTAAGTCTCTTTAAAGAAAATTGCTATATACATTGTAGATAATAAATGGTTAGGGATGTTTGGCTAGTGAATGATTAGTAATTATCTTTAAAGAAACGTATTGGAAAGCTTGTACATAGGTTAGGGCTGTTTGGTTAGTGGAATGGATATAGAAACATAGAATGTGATGGCAGATAAGAACCATTTGGCCCATCTAGTCTGCCCAATTTTCTAAATACTTTCATTAGTCCCTGACCTTATCTTATAGTTAGGATAGCCTTATACATATCCCAGGCATGCTTAAACTCCCTCAATGTGTTATCATCTACTACTTCAGGTGGAAATCTATTCCATGCATCCACTACCCTCTCAGTAAAGTAATACTTCTGGATATTATTTTTAAACCTTTGTCCCTCTAATTTAAGACTATGTCCTCTTGTGGTAGTTTTTCTTCTTTTAAATATAGTCTCCTCCTTTACTGTGTTAATTTCCTTAATGTATTTAAATGTTTCTATCATCTCCCCCTGTTTCATCTTTCCTTCAAGCTATACAAGTTAAGACCCTTCAACCTTTCCTGGTAATTTTTATCCTGATTAGTAACTTTGTTTAAAGATAGTTTTGGATGTATTTTATATATTGTAGGGTTACGGGTTTTTAGTTACTTGATGATTAGTAAGTCTATTGAAAGACATGGGATTGATTGTAGAGATTGTAGGAATGGGGATATTTAGTTAGTGGATGATTTGTAAGTCTGTATAAAAGGAAGTGTTGGATACTATAGACATATAGATATTACATGATTAAGAAGGTTGGAACTAACGGAATAAATAGTAAGTTTCTGTGAAAACACATATAGTAGAATATATGGGAATATGAGTGTTGAGTTTAGTAAAAAAGAGTTTGGCTTGTTGAAGACTACACTTACCTGTTTACAGAAATCTGTCTTTTCAGATTTAATTTGGTGAGACCGGCCACCTTACGAGCCAGTGGTACACCGTCCTGCTTCTATCTTCTTGCTGTTTGCTTCTTATTAGGTTTTTGCCAACACCTTGTAAACACAGGCACATGTTATCTCAAACTATTTGATGGGCCATGACTACCTTGTATAACATTTGCAATCTTTATTTCAATTTTTAAGTAAAGCCGACAAAATATTTAAGTGGAAGGCTGGAACAAGGTCTGTAGTATTCTGATAGTTAAAGATACAGTTCTAGAGACAGGGCACAGAAGTGAGATGTGGGAATCAATTAGAAGAGTTAGAAGGCCTACTTGGCTCCCTTGATAAAGGCATCTTTTGCCGAAACGTTGGGGGCTTGCTTATTGATTTTTCTTCCCTCCTCTCACAGACTCTGGTATGCATGTGTTTGTCGTTTAATATTTATTCTTTCTTTTTTTGATGGGTTGTTGGGATTTGATAACTCCTTACTTATTACAGTGATATTTAGGTAGTTAATTACTACTTTTTTTGCTTTGATGCTTCTATAGTACGTTTGATAACTTTTTGTACATTATCAGCATGTGAGTCATGTTGGAATCTTTCATGATATGTATTGTGAGATATCTATTTTCTTTGTACCTATCTGATAATATTTTTTTTTTTCTTATTAATGGTTGTGCTCCTTGATTGAATGTTATTTGTAACTTTTCTTGGCCCTTGGAAATAGGACCTTATTTAAGTGAGCACCCAGGCTTAGAATAATTTGTGCTCTTATTTTCTTATTAAAATCTGACTAAGAGTGCCTACCTACTTCTAATCATCACTACTTGGCTTTATTACCAGGTGTGTAAGAGGTGGTAGAGGTGTGGGGGGAGTTTGTAATTGAGAGTAAGGTGTTTACTGTTAACTATCTCCCATTCCCACCCTCAGTATAAAATGTAAAAGTGGAACTATCACTCCTCTAAACATTACCATTGAATAAAGCATGTAAAATACTCTATAATCTGCGTTAACCTTTTTTATATTTTTCATTTGATGTATAGTAATGATTTAACAATTGACATCAGTATCCTGTATAATGGGGCACACAATGGAAATGAGAAACACTGTTTCAGTTCCTCCTCTCCCACTAGCTGTGTGTTCAATAATGGAAAAGAGCAACATTTATAATGATGATGGACACAGAGCCAGTATGGAGGTGCCCAGTTCCAGTTCCAGGCAAGAGCTGTCTAATTTTACATTTAGTTTTATTTTTTAGACCTCACAAAAATATAGCTATTAAATACTGGGATAAATAAACAGAATAGTAAACATCATGGAAAGTGACAGTTCTTCTTAAATTCCGGCATTGTTATCTGTTTGTTTTTAATATATATAGTTTTGAAGTAAACGTTTCATATTTTCTCCATTTAACTCCTAGATTTAGTTTTGATGTTTTCC